GAAGTTCGATGAACGATCAACTGAAGGACGCCTCGTAGGTTATGCACAACAAGCCAAGGCATACAGAATATGGCTGAAGCACTCGAGGAAAATCATAGTGGCGAGAGATGTCACATTCGACGAAACGGTTCCCGACAAAGGAAAGAAATCAAACGAAAGAGAGTTTGAGGAGCCAAACAATCGAGAAAGCCCGAAGTACCAAGATCACCACCGTGAGGAGAAAAGGCCAACGGCAACAGAGGGCGAGGGAGACCACAATGAGAGGTGGGCTGAGATTGAACGCAGCCCCGTCGAGAACGCACCGAAGAGAGGACCCGGGCGACCGAGAATCGTACGCCTCGGAAGTCGAGGACGACCCAGGAAACACTACCATCCGCACAAATCACGAGCTACGACTCGAAGTACAGCAGCCGGTGACGAGAGCGAGGAAGAGAGCGACGCGTCGGCCCACAGCGATGAAAATGATGTGAGGGGCCACTCGAATATCGAAGGCGGCGAGAGAAGAGAAGCAAGAAACATTGAAACGCACAGCGAGGCAAACACGGAAGATTCGGAAGACTGCGTTTTCGACGAAGCGAACGACGGCGCAGCACACATGTGCAACATAGCCGAAGAGTTAACATACGCAACTGACATTGACGTCGAAGCGGCCATGAACGGCCCAGACGCTGAGGAATGGCGGAAAGCTATCACGGAAGAGATACAATCACACTTGGAACACAACACATGGAAGATGGCAAGGAGGCCAAATGACCGAAATATCATCGGATCGAAGACGGTTCTAAAGAATAAGCACAGAGCGGACGGATCGCTGGAACGACGGAAAGCAAGAATCGTTGCGAAAGGATTTACCCAACGTCCAGGATTCGATTTCACCGAAACATTTGCGCCGGTGGCCCGGTTGGAATCGGTGAGACTAGCAATGTCGCTAGCCGCTAAATTGAACATGAAAGTCTTCCAAATAGACATAACAACAGCCTACTTACATGGCACAATAGAGGAGGAACTCTACATGGAACCGCCAGAAAGGCTAGAAGAAGCCTTACACGACATCATCAAGAGGAACAAAGACCTCAAGGACAAAGCGAAGAAAATGCTAAAAGCGCTGAAAGCTGGAAATCAGGTATGCCGTCTGCTGAAGGCAATATACGGACTTCGACAATCAGGAAGACGCTGGCACAAGAAACTGAAGAAGTTATTGAAGGATCTGGGACTAAATCCCACAAATGCGGACCCCTGCGTATTCTCGTCGAGAAGAGGAAAGGATCTAATGATCCTTCTCGTTTACGTAGACGACATACTGCTTGTGTCAAATAATGAATCCTGGGTCGAAGAGATCAAACGAGGATTGAAGAAGGAACTAAAAATCAAGGACTTAGGCCTCGCACACTACTGTCTGGGGATCGAAATCAGCCAAGGACAAGGAAGAGTCACTTTATCACAAAAACGATACATCAGCGAACTTCTACGGAAGTATGGAATGGACAAGTGCAATGGATTGACCACCCCGTCCACCCCGGACTTGAAGAAGATGCAGGCGAAGCAAGAAGGAGAAGATCGAGAGAAAGCTAGACGATACAGGGAGCTAGTAGGCTCCTTACTATACCTAGCCGTAGCCACCCGGCCCGACATAGCGCATACCGTCTGCGTCTTAGCGCAGTACAACGACAAGTCAAGCAGCCAACACTGGGGGGCAGCTAAACGGGTGTTAAGATACCTGCGACAAACAATTAATTACTCTTTAGTTTTCAGCGAGCCCACAGACGGCAATTTGACTGGGTTCGTGGACGCAGACTGGGGGAACTACCCGGGTGACCGGCGATCGTATACAGGCTACGCCTTCCTTATGGGCGGAGCAGCTATCAGTTGGAGATCGCAGAAGCAACGGACGCCAGCGTTATCTTCAACCGAGGCTGAATATATGGCCTTGACTGAGGCCGCAAAGGAGGCGATGTTCCTGCGTGGATTCCTGCGAGAACTAGGATTCAGCCAGGAACCGAGCACGACCCTTCGCTGCGACAACCGCGGAGCCAAGATGCTGGCGGAGGACCAAGCGTTTCACCCGAGGACGAAACACATAGACATTAGACATCACTATATTAGAGACGTGATAAAACAGGGGAACATCTGCCTAGTACACGTGCCGACCGAACAAATGTACGCGGACGTATTAACAAAACCACTATCAGCATCTAAGCATTATGAGTGTATCAGCAAGCTGGGTCTAAAAGAAAGTTAAACATTTTGCGTCCGGTTTGAGGGAGGGTGTTGGTAGTATGCAAACCTACCTACGTATCGTATATACTCTATGGTCACGCTCCGACCTTCTACACGCGGCTCGCAGTGCTCGCACGCAATGTAACCCACGACAAGCAAGACTGAATATATACTGTACTAAATAGTAAAGGATCTCAGCGTGTTATTTAGAATACTCGATACCTTCGTCATCCATCCGGACTCACACTCCAACAGTTATAGATAAAGAAAAATTATTAATTAGTTAGGATGTGTTTCATTTATATATACTCATTTATTCCTATCCATATATTTATCCAAGATTAAATATTGGTTACTTATTAGTAACCAATATGTTATAATATAATGTGGTATAAATGTGGTTACTGATTAATTATAATATTCAATTATAATACCAATTGTGCGGGAAGTTTCTTCTTTTTGAATCTCGCGTCATTTATTCTGTATATCTTACTATTACTTGATACACTTTTAAGATGGGTTAAAAATCATTTTTTACAACACCTCCACGGAAAGTTCGACTTCCATGCCTGTAGAGAGGGGCAAAAGTGGTCAATTTCACGTCAGGGCTTACTTTCCTCCCTACAGAGAGAAAAATTGTTACTTTCTACCTCGTATAGCGGGCAGAAAGTAAAGTAGCATGCAAATACACGATCCAACTCCGTTTACGCGCGTACCAGGAGTCGAAGCAATTGTATCTGCAATTTGACTGTATCACGACTAAAGATAATTTTAAATTAACATTTAAATTCATAAATCGAGGAAATAATCCAATCTTGCAATTTAAAAATTGTCATGTAAATATTAAATTCACTAATTGAAAACATGGTTATTGATTATAATAAGCTAGGCTTTTTTATTATGAAAATTATATACTTTCTATAAATAAGAAAATTATTACTATTTTAACAATTCTTTGTATTAAAACTATTGATTTGGAATTGTTTTTCTTAATAATATCACTGAATAATAAGATAACTAATTATACTTATTTACATAATATCCCTAAATAAAATCCCAAATTTTCAATCAGATTTAGTGCAATAATTAAAATTATTTATATTTCTTTTTGAAATTTTATAGTTATTTTAATTTTGTGTTATGTGTGGGTCTTCGCCCCCCACACCCCCCACCAGGGGCTTTGCCCCTGGACCCCGCATCACTCTATTTTTCTCTTTCTATTTAACGATACGCGCGTATAAATTGTACGAATGGAACATCAAACGCACATACTCTACAAGCATTCGAAAGTCGAAAATTTTCGTAAAGTGTTGTGAAAAATATCGTGTGCACCTCGGGTCGAAAGTTTTTTCACACTCGTCTGAAAAACGCATCTTTCTCCCTTTGGTGCACAATATACTATTAACGGAGTTGTGAACGATTAGTCAAAATGTCCACTTTTGTTACTATCGTGTCTCTCTTGATCACAGATTTTCCCTGGGTTCCGTAAAGCGCATATGCACGCATTTTCTATAGTAGACGTTACGTATGCTATAGATAAATGCGCGCATATGCGCTTTAATAATATAATAATAAAATATATTATACAAGTATCATCCAATTAATTCGAAGAAGTCCAACTGACAAAGACGACCTCTCAATATCAACGTATAAACAAATATATATTTATAATTTATTATTTTCTTGCGGATATCCTTGTTCACGAACTTAAAAAGAAATGTATATATATGTATAACAGTGGTACGTTTTGATCTGTTTTTCAAGTCACTCTATTTACATGACATATTTATTATAGCATCAGGAATCGACATTGTAGTCAGTATTCGGTGAGCTTTCGAGATGACAAAACGGCAATTACGCTGATCTATCCCTGAATTCAATAGCTTTCGCGATGACAACGCATAATATTAATTAATATTATTGCTGCACAGAACTGTATTTTAATCCGCACATAAGTGTAATATATAAAGTAAGTCACTAAAAACAATAATAATTAATTAAGGATTTATATATCTTATTGAAGATATAAAGAAACATATAAAATGTAATTCAAATAATTTCGAAAGACAAATTACGATTAAATTTAATTCGAGATTTATCCTGGATTGAAAATTTTCACTTTTAATATGTTAATTTTTACTTTTAATATGTTAATATTCTTTTTTTTAAATCAATCAACATATTTTATTTCAAAACGATCTTAACAGCGTTCCGAACGTAGAATAGAATTCTAAATTAAACAAGAAACATGATTATTATTATTAATGACGAATAAATAAAAACAGTCACACGATAAAAAATGCTTATTATTTTTGTTCTTCAAAAGTATGTTATAATTATTTCCTATATTTTTTATTTCATATTCAGGGAGAGTAAAGAATTCAAATAATCAGTCATTTACGAAAATAAGAGGTCAAACTTTATATGTTAACAAAATAGTATTTAAGTTTTTTGCTTCTGATGACTAATGTAACATTCTATATAGTCAAATGTATACACGCTACTTAGATGCCTAACATTTTTCTCGAAAACTTAATAAATTAATTTTCTTTTAATTCTAAGAAAATAAAGGAATAATAGAATAAATTAATTGTGAGCACATCAAGATATATCCAATCTGTTATATAAAAAAATATTCATAATTTTCCCGAAGTAGATCTTATATGCAGTTGAATCCTCTCGACAAAAGTTAAAATTATTTTCTTCTTCTCCTTCTGTTCTTTTGTAATATTATTCGTTTTTTTTTAACAAAAAATCACAGATAACTAAAACAAGTACTGACAATGGAATTTCTAAAATTGTTATTACATATCGGCCTAATATTGGCTATTATAACGGACTTTAGTATCACTGAAGATTCAAAAATCATCTATCGTTTACCGGAAAATGCAAAACCACTTCACTATAACATCAGGCTGATCACGCCTCTCGAGGAAGGCAATGATATCTTTCACGGTGAAATCAGTGTCATTATCGACAATCTTTACGTAACGTCAAGTATAAGCTTACACTCGCAAGATTTAGAAATAAATATAACGACAACAACGCTGATTAATAGCAATGGTAACATCTATGAACCGATAAAATATACTTATGACAATATAACGAATATATTGACGTTTTCTTTCGACCATAAATTGGATCGCGCTATTTATACCCTGAACATGACGTTTGCTGGTAATTATTCTAAAAGTGGTTACCACAAAAGTGGCTTTATAAAAATTCCGTACAAAGACGAGGGAGTAGACAGCATGTAAGTAAATATTAAAAATATATATTTATTACGTTATTTGCTACTTACTTTTATTTGTTACTTTTAATTATCATCTTCACTTTATTTATTATTATATTTTCTTTCAATTTTTATTATTTTATTTTCTTTATTTTCTTATCGTCTTGTAATACATAAAGCTCGGCAAGACATTGCTTAAACATATTGCTTATATAGTAATTATTAGAAAGTTAGACGTTTTATTATTAGACGTTTTTCAATATGCAAATATAATTACAATATGCGTAGTAACCGCTGCATAATGTAATGTTTAAAAGAGTTCAACATCAGTTTAAATAATTTTTATTTTGACTTTTAACAAAATTATTATTATATATAATATAATATAATAAATGACAATTAGTGTTCTCTAAACTCATGTGCCTCACCCACGTGAGATACTAAATTTGCCGTTATTTAAGAAATTTTATTAAATTATAGATTGGCTGCAACGTTACTCGAGCCAAATAATGCCAGACGAGTATTTCCGTGTTTGGACGAGCCAGCGTTAAAAGCTACCTTCAACGTCTCCGTGATGCACCATAAGAAATTCAGGGTATTGTCGAATATGCCGATGCAAAAGCGGTACAACGGACAAAATTCAGTCATATCAGAAAATGGCATGGTGTGGACGCACTTCAACACTACTCCCGTAATGTCCACTTATCTCGTGGGGATTGTGATTGTACCTAATAGTTTTATTCGCATTCGAAGATCCCCGAAAACCCTGACCATTAGTGTGTGGTGCAAACCGTCATTGGAAATCCAAGCAAGATTCGTGCATAGTATGGCCGAAAAGGTCACGCCGCTCTTGATCGAATATACCAATAGTTCCGAAAAGATACCAAAAATGGACCATATCATAGTACACGATTATCCGGCCAACGGCATGGAAAATTGGGGACTCATCATTTATAAGTAATATATATATATATATATGTATATATATTAAAGAGATTATATTAATATACATAAATAAAAAAATTAATATATTAAGCTATTAAAGCTGACTAACGTCTTTCAGCATTCGAAATTTGTTAATTTAAAACACGTGTGTACTTCACGGATATTCAAAAAATGCATATTTTTAGTCTTAGCTTTTGTTTTAAAACAAATTAACGTGTTTAATCAATGTGTTACGTTACCTCCTCTTTCCACTCCCATATATCATACGTATACGAAAAGAAAGAATCCCAAACGGTCTGCCGATTGTGAGTAGTTATTCGCGTAAGGGAATTATGAATAATGTATATACTTGGAAACAAATTAGACTGCACGCTCCCAATGAGGAACATTTTGCTTAATCACATTTTGTGTATTATGTTATATTTATATTATATCTGTCTTACAGCGAAAAAGAAGTTATCTACAATGGTAGCACAGATCCCACATTTCGGAGAAAAGAAATAGCGCTGTTAATAACACATGAACTTGTACATCAGTGGTTCGGCAATTTAGTCACCCCATCTTGGTGGTCCTACGCGTGGATGAGCGAGGGATTTGCTACGTTCCTCGAGGCGTATTTCATCAATAAGGTTATTTAATATTACTAATGCAAGGTTATTCGTTAAATAGAAAAATTAAACATACATTTCAATCGTTAACTTTAAAGTAAGGACCATCAAATACATATTTTCATATTTTCTTGAGATCTATTAAAATGGATCTGAATAAATAATGGCACGTTCTTTATAATTTGGAATTATAAAAAAGAGATTGTAACGTGTTTTTCTCTTTTCAAATAATTATACAAACAATTTAATACAAATTTTTATTAAAATTGGAAAATATTTTGTTTTTAGCATTTGCCATGTTAAAGATTTACCATTTTAATTGTCATATATTTCAACATTATTTTCATATTACATTAGCGGCACTAAAAATATAATTATAGTAGTTTTATTAGAATCTAAAGATATATGTATTTTATTTCTTGCCACAATCAATATTTAATAAAATAATAAAATTCAACATTTCGAATTTGTATGCTTTAATCTTACCTTCATATTCAG